CTCCTGCAAGTTTGATTACTACCGCTACCGCTACCAAGAGCTAATTACACCAACAACGGCGACACCACGACTTGCACGCCGCGCTGCGCTTTTTTTTCAAAGCGGAGATTGGATAGCAGCAGCCCTTCCCTGAGAGGATGGCGGCGCTGCCGGCGCCACCCTGGAAGCAGTTCCCCCTAGTGCTTAGTAGGGAACAGGAGACTAGGATATAGGCATTGTTACATCAGAATATGTAGGGGCTACTACAGGGATCCATTCCCTCATGCCTTACTGAGCACAAGCTAGTCTTGGCTAAGGAGGACATATGATTCTAGTAGTAGGTTCGGTGACTTCAGATGTTTAGCACATCGCATCAGGAATGCACCGCGTTTTTCCGGGGGGGAGGGGTATTTGAAATGTGATCAAGGATTTGTTGGCATTACACAGTTGTACCACGTGTCAAGTAGCAGAGTTGGCAAATTGGCTGTCAAAGCTACCGCCCCCGATCTGACTTAATAGTGCAATGCCTGAAAAACTAGATCCAGGCAGGTCAGACCTCTTTGTGGCTCTCTGGGCTGAGGCGCCCCCAACTGATTTGTTTTCTGTAGGGGCCTCAATCATTGCAACAGAGGTTTGGGGTATATTATACAATGATATATATATATATGTGTTCTACAAGGATGGTGAGGGGACAGCATTTAGGCTTCTGCAGTGTACATTTGGAGCTGCAGGGTGGGACTTTCCTGTGACTCATGCGAGGTGAGATGACCGTTTGAGGCTCAGCCGACTAAAGCTGCTGAATCTCGACCATGTACCCCCGAAAGAAACAAAGATAGAAGCCCGTTTGAAACGGAGATTGCATCACCTTCCATGCTTGTTTGGCGGCGGATATACTTGTGGGGAGTTTTTTTTGGGAGAGGGTCCGTGGTCCTCCCACCGAAGAAACGTTTCAGTGTGGACCTTGGTCTCTGATATGCCCTTAAATGATGATGCCTTAAACCCCTAAACCCGGGAAGAACTCCTTAAGTCCTAATGTTTTGCGGCATATGTATATATACATACATCTGTTTTCAAGTAGGGTTTCCAGAATCTTTTCTGGACATCTTCAGGGTTAAGGTAGCAGTAAGCAGCTCTACGTTGAGGGGGAACCTCGGGAGGTCGTACTAGGGCCACTAGGGGTTATGTGATGTAAGGGACAATATTTTGCTGGCGCTTCTTTGGAATCTCCTGTACCATGGAAATACGAGGAATGTAGGACCACAACATTGCAAGTGTTTTTGGCCTCTACAGTAGTCTCCTCTCTCTAATAATGATTAAACCTCACCCCCTAATGCCTAATGCTACAATAAGTATTCTCCCGAAGATGTAGTCATGGGTTCCCCTACTACCCCCTCTATACTACCCCCCCCGGATTCCCCCTAAAGTATAGGGTGCTAGTAGGGGAACCCATAAATATACTTGCTGGAGGCCAATCTGGCCTATTGCCTTTTTCAGTGGAGGTTACGAGGGACCCTGGAGTCAGGTAACATACTATACCGGCCAATAAACCCATGAGAACCCTATACTGCAACCTATTATAAGTAGGTTCCCAAACCCTATAGTCCCCCTTAAGTAGATAGAATATGGCTTTGGGTATACTACAAAAAGAGCCCCATATACCCCAGATTCTATCTACTTAAGGGGGGACTATAACCCTATAGTAACTCCAGGGTCCCTCAAATAGTACGATCTCCAGGATGGTGTAGGTTTTCTTTAGTATCCCTTCTGCGGCTGCTAGTAGATTTAAGGCGAGTTTAGGGTTTAAGGTTATGGGGGTTGGGACTTATGGTTTAGGGTTTAAGGTTATGGGGGTTGGGATTTATGGTTTAGGGTTTAAAGTTATGGGGCTTAGGTTATGTGTTTGTATCAAGGCCCTGATTCTTAGAAGCTCTCTTGTGGGTAGTTGCGAAACCTTATCAAACTTTGTTGTTTTCTATTAGGGGGAAGGGATTATCAAGTGTAAAGTGTAGAAAGATGGGCCACACAAAAGTTTGAATGACTGCTCTTCATAATGGAGGACAGCAACAAGGGGACCCTAAGTAAGTGGTATCAATGGAGCTCCAGTAAATTAAGCTGTTTTTTTCCCTGGAGTTGCCCCATGAAAACCACCAGAAACCCTGAACCCTAAACCCTAACTTCAGTCCCTAAAGTATCTGCTTCGGCTTGCAGTATCTGGTCACACAAGGACGCATGGAGAGCCTGCTTTACTATCCGTGGAACGTGCTGCGGATCATTCTGGGTCTGGCCGAAGAGCATAGACATGTGAGAATCTGTCCTCTCACTATGTTTCTTGCAAGAAGACCTGATGTCTGAATGGTAAACCCAAACCGTTTGTTTGCCTAACCTCGTCTTAGCATTAGAACGGTAAACCAGCTTTGGTCCATTGGTCCTATCTGGGGTGCTCCGCATCGATGCGGCATCCTTCCATCCAAACCTCTCCTGCCTCCTTAGAATTCTGGACTGGGTTCACGGCCAAGTTACCCACACCTAAGACCCCGTAACCGTGAACCCTATAGCCCACACGTCAGGTCTTTTGCGGAGTGCCCCAGCCAACGAAAACTGCTGGACGCGTTTCAGGAAAATGTTTGGATGCATCCCAATCTCTGCGCGCATTACAGGCCTGTGAAGCCGAATTTCAGCTGCAAATGCTGAGGCTGGATGACATGGGTATGTGTCAAACGCCTGGTCCCTGCCATCTCCCGGAAAATATCCGCACTGTGGGCACACCTNNNCCCGCCCCCCCCCCCCCAAAAAAAAAACCGCAGCTTTGACACATGCCCAGACCAGCTTAATCCCTTCCCCCACGGGGAGAGGATTAGCTGGCATGCCTGGGGGTTCCCCCCTTGAAGCTAAACAAAGTACAGCGAACCAATGAAAACCTGAGAGAGCAACGGGCTCAACTCGCAGCCGCAACGTATCTTTCAGCCGCTCAACACCCTCTCGCCCCGAAAAACCCTGTGCATCCCAGACGTCTGACGAATCGTCTCCACGCCCTAGTTGAAGGCTAGTGAGTTTGTTATACTTGGGATTAAAGGCTCACGAATCGGGTTGGCCTGCTTAAAACTTACAACCATTTACGAAGCCCCCCTGAGCCTATAAGCTTCAAAAGAGACATCCTGAGCCGGAGGCTCTCGCAGATGATAACTTAGCAGTCCGCTTCAGAAAGCCCTGCAGTTCCTGGAATAATCCTGAAACTCGCTTGTCTCCCACGTACCATAAGCTTCAGCAACCACCATCATGCTTCATAATCATAGCCCGCCGCTCCTGAACTGACGGCATTCAATATGCTGCATTGGGATAATCTGCTATCCTGTTACATATGAATAGTTCCTGAAATAGGGGTCCCATTTTGGTACGCATGGATATTAGGTACCGTAATATACTCCCTAACCAAAAGGGACCCATAATGTTGAGAATAGCCCATACGTGGGATTCTGATGGCAAGGCATGGATTGATCATGCTGAGAATCGATGAACCATGATCCCCATAGCCTTTGAGAAGTTCAGGGCGTAGGGCTTAATCCATGCTCTTGATTCATAAAGCGCTGTAGATTCAGTGCCACTTTTCAAGGGCCCATTTAGGGGTCCAAGACTAGATTAAAGGCAGTGGCAGCTTGGGGCCCCAAACCCTCCAGAATTAAAGCAAATTATTCCCAGACCCTCAAAAAATGGCAAGGTTTAGGTTTGAGGTTTAGTTTNNAGGGTTTAGGGTTTAGGGCAGATGTCTTGAGGGTCATTGGTTTCGCCTCCTTTCTATTCTTGGGAATTGTTTAAATGGAAAAATCAATAAACACCTACTGGAAATGAGGACTTTACGCATTTCTTGAAGCCCCTCCAAATGCTAATGAAAATCAATTCCAAATCACTTTGCTGATTCTATACAACTTAGCCTGATCTACGCACAGTGGGACGCGGCTATGTTTCATGAGAGGGACCCCACTTGCTAATCAGGAGCGCAGAGTACGTGATTTTGAGAAACCTTAACCCAACAAATCTGCTCAGAAACTCTAAGCTCTCCAAAAAAATACGCGCACAAGTCGAAGAATCCATAAATCCTAAACCCTACATTCACATCCCACATAAGCTACCTCCATACTCCATTTGCGCAGTGCTTTGTTGGTGGTTGGGCCTGGTAACATTCCTTTGTGGTTCTGAAATATTTCAACCAAAAACTGATTCCTGCAGTGTATAGGTTACTAGAGTATCCCCAGTTCAAATTCCATGTAACATCAATTTCCATCTGATTTCCCAGTCGGGCCCCAATTATCAGGGGAACTGCTAAGCCGTACATACCCCTATATATCCCTATAG